TATATATATATATATATATATATATATTGTATGAATTACAGAAAATGCTTAATGCAGACCAATAACCGTGCTTTCAACCTAAAGGTTGGTCTTTAAGAATCTGCAGTCCTGCTAATGAGCTCATCCATCCATCCATCCATCCATCCATCCATCCATCCATCCATCCATCCATCCATCCATCCATTTTTAGTGTTGAAAATAGATTTCGTTTTAACTTGAATCAATAACTCTTGTTTTTGTTGTCTGCAGACCCACATATCCAGATTGCCTCCTGGAACTGTTCCTGGCCAGTCACTGGCGATCGAGGGCGGGGTGTGTAGGCTGATGGGGGTACTGGATTGAACCCTCTTTCCTCACCCCTCTCTATGTTCTTCTGGGCTTCCTTAGCAATACTCCTATACAAACTCAAAAAATGCACACAGCCATGAGCTCACTCACATGTACAGAACCCCCAACTACCCACAACCTTTGCAATGCCAGAGATAATAAGCTTTCATTGTTTGAACAGGTGTTCAGGAAGAAGTGAGAAGCATTAGCTAATACTTAGTGCACTTATAGGACTTCCCTTTGCATACTGGAAGCCACTGCCGGCCTTCAGTGTGCACTCTATGCCAGTTTACCCTCTAAGCTCTCCAGTGTAACCTGGATTAAACTTGATACGTCATTACGGTGACTTAACATTACTTTTCTTTATTACTTTTTTCCCAGTTAAACAATACATCCTTCCTTTTGTACATAATCTATAATCCATGGAAACAGGGTGGATGTTGTGTTGCTAAAGAGATGCGACTATTTTAACATTTTTAGCATTTTCAAATCAAAGAGCTTTTCTTGTTTTCTGTTTGAAAAGGCAGTGGATAAAAGATTTGAAATTCCTCCTTTTGGAGTGTCTGCTACTCAAGACTTTGGCTTGTATGATTTAGAGCTTTGATATTTTACCAGTAATAATGAAAATACAAGATATTTAGCCACTTTAATCAGCCTGCATAGTCTTGGTAGTACTTCAGCCTTATTTGCATTTTAGCATGATGTCAATATTCTGTTTGGTCGTTTTTTGGTTGTTTTTTTTTATGATAGCCATTTCAGAAATTCAACGGTTTAATTATTTTATGAAATGTGATTAAGTAAAACTTTACAGTAAGTAACTCTTCTACCTGGATGGTAAATAGTTGATCTATAAGGAGGAAACTGTGTTCTTACACAGTGATGACTGTTACATACATTTACCAATCACATGTTAGTTTCCTCAGTTCCAATGGCAATGAAGCTGCATTTTCTTGCTGAAAGAATCCAGCTAAAAAAAACAAATGTATAAATCAAGCCCATAAAATGGTGCTGTTGTACTTGAAAAAGCTGAGTGTCTGATCTGTTGGGACAATGGAATTTTTTATTTTAGCATTTCACTGAGAAACCATACATGTGCAAAACTCTGCAGTTCAGAAAAACTGAATAAAATCTAAATTACGAGAATTTTGTCTTTCTTTTAACATTGCAATAATTTAATGTATTAACTATTGAATATTTGCATTTATATGGTCTTTTTTTGTTTAACAATTTTCCTTTTTGTAGTTTGCAAAAGTTATTTCATTTTGAGCTCAAAAAACAAGAAATATGTGAAAAATCATTAAAGAAAGGCATCAGGTCACTTGGAATCAAAGTTGCAGAAGAACATTGATGTCACATATGGAATGGTACATTTCTGTCGGTGTGTAACACTGTGCTCGTTCAAGTCAGATTTAGAGCTATCAAAGTGTCCGACAGGATGATAATGTTTACACTGTGATTTCATCTCAGTCAGAGGAAGTCAGAAATGTCTGTGACAAGTAGCTTGGAGATCATACAAACACGTATCCTAAACAGATAATTAAAAGCATCCTAAACAGATTTTAATTTATCACAGTTCAAAATTACATCATGCCACAAAAAAACTAGAACAAGTTACTGCCACGTGCAAAGACTTTTTTTTTTTTTTTTTTATTGCTTTGAAAACCTTAAATAAAGATCTGTTTGTGAAGGATTTTACCAAAAATTTTTTAAGTTGCATTATTTGCCTAAAAACAGAGAGGCTAGAAAGGGATTAAATTGTGCAAAGGTATCAGTAGAGTATGGAGGGTTTTAAGTGCCGCAATACAATAAAAAAAAAAAAAAACAAGAAATATTAAGTGTGTCAGTTATTTTCTACATCTGGAAATACATAATGTGTTTAATAAATATATTCTTAGTTATATGTGCCTTAATTAAATATTGAACAGAAAATGTAGAATATTTTAATAAGCGAATGTGTTTGTATGTATTTTGAAATATTATTTACAGATTGGATAAAATATTTTATGTTCCTGCTCTGAACCACACCATTAATTAAAACTAAACTGTCCCATCAAAGTCAATAAGGCGGGACTAAGGTTGCTTCAATAGAAACCCTGACGTCTGATTAGCTTTTCCTCACCCAACAAGATAATGCAACTAGTACTCTAGAGTCAACATTTTCTCTGAAAGAGTTGTAAATAAATGTCTTAAACTTTTTGCCGTTTATTTAGGGCACATTGGGTTAGCAAATTCTGCCATTTATTAAAATCATGGAAATGTGAAAGTAGTCAACAGTAACTGAAAACATATGGCATAGCTGTAAAATAAGAGAGTGGAATAAACAAGCTTTTTATATCAAATCAAACCTCCAGATATCACTATTCTATGCCTGAATTTGCCAACTTCAATTTTTCGCAATAATTCCCGATGGTAAATTTTGCAAGAAAACAAAACACCAGCTTTGATCCGAAGACTGATTAAAAATGATTTATTTTTCAATACCGCATTGTCCCAAAATACACCCAAAAGCAAGAGAAATAACAAAAGATTATAGCATTAAAATAGTCTAAAAGTCTCATGGCTTTGGCGAATAGAGAGTAGACATCACCAAGGTAAGCATGGGGGTTGTGGAAGTGTGGTTTAACAAAGTGTGTTCACTTACGAAACTGAGTTGTTTCATATCTTCTGTTTGTTTTCTTCTTTCTGATTTCTTATTAGTTGAACTGCGCAGCATTAACGACACATTTTATTGTATATGAAAAAAGCAACTGGCTTTTAACATATGATGGGTGTGTACTGTTCTGAGAGCCAAAGCACACAGAGCAGACAAGAACTAGACAATGTTAGATAAGGCATCGGGGATCATAAGGTAATAAAAGTTAAGAAATATCCTCCCAAAATGATATTACAGCACTTTTTCTTTCTGTTGCGCCGAACCTTTGTACAGGCTGTACTTTCTTGAGCATTCCCAGCATCACCTTGTCCAGCTGCTGCTGGCTCCAGCTTGTGGCCACTCTGCTGTGTGTCTTGGGTGGAATGTGCAACAGAACTGTGAAAAGATTAATATTCACCGTTTGAAAGAAGAAATGCCTCCCTGTCAGTGCCTTATGCCAGATTGTGAGATCAGACCACATAGTGATGATACACAGCCAGTCTGCTCCTCAGGTGTAACAAGTCACAGTTGTTTGCTGTCATTGGGGTGCAAAATGTTTTAGGGAGGTCATGAGTGTTGCATGGTCATCTGAGGGGATCCTGTGTGTTTGTTTTTGTCCTGCAGCCACCTGACCCCAGTTTTACGTTAAAGGTCCATTTATAGGGAGGTAAAAGGTTTCAGTGGTAAAGTAAAAAGTCAGTAAAAAATGTATTTGTGTAGCATATGTCAGCGGCGAAGCAATTCAAAGTGCTTTAAAATGATAATAACCCTCCCCACATACACTCCTGATTTTCCACTGACATGATTATGTGTAATTAGAGAGCAAGCTCTTTTCATCAGAGCTAATCTGTGCCACTGGGGGACCCTCTTTTCCACTCACCGTAGAGTTTTCCTCTTTAGCTTTGAAGAAGGATCCTGTGCCTTTAAAAAGTGGACCGGCCCTGAGCCGTATTCTCTGTATCCAATACCTCACGCTCGGAGAAGCTCTTAAATACAAAACAGACACGAAGCAAATAAAGATCAAACGCAGCAGCCTTGCCTGTCTGCCCTGCTGTCCTCAACATGCCAAGCGGTGCTGTCACCAGGGAGTCAGGGCCACGCATCTTTTGTGCTCCATTTCACTACCCCTCACCACCTCCGAGTCACCACTCGTCATGCCAGCTAGCCTTTGTGATAGTCTGGTTAGTCACTGGAAGTCGAGATTTCAAATGCAAACGTGTTTTGTTTTTCATTTTTACAGATGTTTTCAGCCTGTATTGTATAGAAAACATATGGTGGGTCACTGATGGTATTAGCTCTATAAAGCCTCTTCTCCGAGCCAAAAATATAGAAAATATGCACTACAGCATTATGTAGAATGACATGCAAAAGTATTTATGCTCCACAGGTTTTTCACTTTTCAGCTATAAACTTGTGTACTTTATGGAGGTTTTATGTGATAGACTAGTACAGTAGATAGGCCTGTGCAACAGAAAAAAAATTGACATAGTTTGGAAATTTGTTTACATATGAAAACCAGAAAGCTGTGGCGTGTTCTTTTAAACACCTTTTACTCTAAAAATCCTCAATTAAATCAAGCAAAACACCATTCCCCTTCAGAAGTTACTAGCTACGTAAACATGTACTTAATTTGTGTGTACGGGATCAGTTGGAATGGCCCAGTCAAAGTCCAGATCCCAATGCATTTAAATAACTGTGGCAAGACTTTAAAATTTGATCTGAAGTAATTTTTGCTAAATGCTTTGACCAAATACTGTAGGAAAATTATGTTTAAGAAATGTGTTGACTCAGGGGAAAGATCGCTTTAAATTGTAACATTTATGGTTTATTTTTTTAGTGAAAAATGTATGCATGTTCACTTTTTGTTCCAATTCACTATTACGGACCACTTAATGTTGGTCTATTAAATAATTTCATAACTTAATAGCCATTTTTAGTTGAAAAGTATGTCTGCAAGTGAAAGCAGGTGCATGCTTTATTAAAGGACATACAGCAGCAGGTGCCTGTAAAACTAATATCAACATCTAACAACTCAAAGTAAAGCAGAGAATTCTGTTTATTCTGTTTGGCATTTTCTGCTACTTTTTCTGTAGTAGCAGAGACTGAGTGAAGCACTGTGCGCTGTCAGGTCTTAACACATTTAGTTGTCCCGTTTGCTCAGCTGTACACCCACATTTACCCCCGCCTGCCACCGCCAACGCCCCCATCCCCAGAGCTTATTTCTCCTCAGCGCTGCTGTGCCAAAGATGCGAGCCAGTGATGTGCTTGCAAGCTGTTTTTGTCTCTAAAGTGTTGGGGGGTTACGGTTGGGGGTGGGTGGATAAAAGATAAGCAAAGTTTTGGTCGAGGACAGCCCTTACAGATTAGAAGCCAAAAGTAAAGCCTTTTAATTAGGGTTTGCCATGAAGTTAGGGCCTTGTGGTATTGCGGCCCAGACACTTCCTGTATTGTGCCACACCACCCATAAAGCACCAGCGTAAGAGAGCGAGTGAAAGCAAGTGAGGGGAGTAAGACTAAAAATGGCTCTGCCACATTTGCAGCACTCTGCAAAACAAAGAGATGTGCCTGCCCTTTTACCTAAAGGAGCCCTCCCTCATGAGCCAAACATTTGTTGTTTTTTCTGCGTGTAAGTTGGTGAGTAGCAGAACTTTAAGAAGGCTCCACATCTCCATGTGAACGATGAAAACATTGTATGTAACTGCGAAATTACAGTTATTGATGATTTTAAAGAAAACCTTATTTATTTTATAGATTATCTTCTAGACTACGTTTAAACTTTGATTAGGCCCTTTTAACATATGGAGTTTAGACCCAAAACATTGAGCTGTAGGTCTGGCTATCTGTTTTTGCCCTAATGGAAGTAGTTAAAACTCTGCACAAGTTTGAACACTTTTGGAGTATTTAACCATTTATTTCCTAGATTGGTTTGTATTAAGCACCACTCATTTAAGCATCCCTTCAACTGCTGTCCCAATGTTAAAGGTATAGTGGGGGTTGTTCTTTTTCCGGGTGGATAATGAAAATAAGTGGTCCTCCTAATTGTCAGTCATTCTGGTGATATGTTCACGTAAGGCCGTCCTACATGCTCGTCCTCATTTCACTTACCGGTGGTGAGTCGGACATGGTGGAAAAATAACAAATCTTCTTTTGGAAAGTGAGCTTGTATGGGCGATGCAAACAGCAACTTTTAAACTGAGCGTGCACCAGGAGAAATGGGCTCTTGCTTTCTCTTGCGCGCATTTAATAGGCGTTCCCTCTTCAGGAGCAGGTACAGAGTTGTGCATGTGCATTCATTTTTTAATAAATGGAGAGGGCAGGTCTTTTCAAGAATTTGTGGAATTCCTCCACTATACCTTTAACGATGGTCAGTTCAGAGTGCTAACACACCGTTCGCTTTTCAGCAAAAAGGTTCGTCTCATCTTTCCAAAGTCCCTTCTTTCATATGTTTGCTTTGTCACCTGAGTTGTGGATATATGCAGCTCCTCCAGAGAATATTGTAACCTAATCCAGACATTATGCACACGTGGACTCTACAAAGTAGGTGATCTACTAATGCGATGTTACACTGGATTTTTTAGAAGTATATCACAACAATGAGGTGTCTATGGAAATGAACACCACACTTTATTTTGTGTTGATTTACTCCTTTAAAATAGTTTAAATTGGATGCAGTAATGTGGGAAAATTTGTAGAATTTGTAAGATAGAGAGTTGTACCTCTGCTGTAGACATCCCTCGAGAAATCCCTTGGGAAGCTTTGTCAAACTCAGAAGTCATGTCAGCACGCTGGACTTAATGTCCTTCTCATAACAAAAATAGAGACAAAATACCAAAAGGCATATCGTAGTGATGCTTAATGAGCCCTTTCGGATCCTTGACAATACACCACTAATGTGCAGCCTTTGAAACACCCCAGAACGCAGTGCTGGAAATAGTAACACAGAAGGGAGGCCTCACAAACAGTCCAAGCTGCAAGGTTTCTTTCCTCTGGCTGGCGTTCACTTTCTCTGCCCTCCTCTACAATTTCACACCAGTTACCCTCTCCAACCTTATATCTGTATTCCTGTCAGTACCTTTGCGTAATAATCACAGCACCAGTTGCATTAGTGTCGGGGGTGCACGGAAGGATGAAAAATGAGGAGGGCACGCGAGTAACTGTCTGCTCTGGAGACACGAGGAGACTGCCTCGAGGGGAGAATCTGAGTAAGGGTGGGAGACATAGGGGAGTGGAAGTATGCCGTCAATTTTAGCCTGCTGCTAATGTTACAGAATGAAAGGTGAACACCTCGCTTTGATCTCTAAATGCACAAACCGTGTTAAGATAAAGATCTTTGTAATAAAGTGCGCTTTAACTCAGGGAAAAGACAGAATTAAAAAGACACATTGATAGTGAGGTAAAAATATATTGCAAAGAAACTTCTTGTTTAAATTTTCTGTCAGAACATTGAAGAAAAAAAAAGAGTTGTGAATAAATGAATGAGACGATGCTCAATAAAGAGTTCTGCATGAACATTGAGCAACTGGGTGATTGCTCAGAGTTTCTTGGGGGTGTGAAACGTGCCGGGGCCTGCTGGTTTATAAAGACAAGCTCCTGCACCAAGCCAGCTGTGCAGCACACGAGACTGCAGGAATGAGGGCACCATGAATGGCTTCCTCTGTGTGACAATGACTGCAGCACTCAGTGGAGAGCGAACGGTCAGAGGTCCCCCACCGCTACGGACAAGCAGCAGCGGGTGTGTGTGGGAGCGTGTGTACACTGAGAAATTACTCAGGAATTTGAGGATACATGCCAAAGAAAGAATCTGAGTCGCATTCAAAGGAACCTTACTCTCCTCGCCCTCTGAAGAAATATCACAGCCTCATCAAAAGGCCTGGCCTGACAGCCACTCTAGATGGAACTAATGGAAGTCTTGTGCACTGGCTTAACTCTGTGGAGGAGTGTAATTGATTAGAGGAGATGATTCTCCTTCTGACAGCAGGAGAGAAATCTAACAGCAGCTGATAAACCTGAAAAATGTGGGAAAAGTGATACTGAAGTCACTTTTTCATGACCAGAAAACAGTATGATCACATACGTTCCCTTGCTTTAAAAACAACATGTATACGATGGTTTCTCTGAATGTTGTCCTCATAGCTGACAGCTAAAGGAGGATCCAAAAAGGATCCATATAAATGTATTTTTCTTTACAAAAATAAACACCTAGAAAGTATGTAGTTATTTAGTCCCGTTTACTAAAATCCAGCTTAATAAAATCCCCTAAACTTGTATTCAGCTCTGTATAATGTTGGTATAAATGCATCACTGCAACTCATTCTAAAACACAGCAGTGGCAGCATCATGCTGTGAAGATACTTTTTAAGAAGGAAAAAAAAAACGGAGTCAGTTTATAGAAAGTGAAACATTTAAATGCATAGCAACGCAAAGAGAACCTGTTGGACTACTTTCTGTTGTTCCCCAACAAAACACCTGGAAAGGAGCCTAAGAGGTAACTTCCATAAAGGATTAGATCCTAGATCTAGATATATAATTGAAAAGCTTCCATCAAAGTATAATTATGTGCTGAAATTGCCCATTTAAAGTCCAGACCGAAATCTAAATGAAAATCTGTGGCAAATTGTTGCTATATACATTTATACAAAATCCCAATAAAATACAAAGTTTATGGCTGTAAAGTTAAATACCCATAAAATGTTAAGGGGGTGTGAATATTTTAGATTAACAAAAAAAGACAAAAAAAAAAAAAACAGTATGATAACGAGAGGCCAAACTCACAGACACCCACCACAATCACAGCTACACTTTAATAAATACTTTACAAAACTAAAGCAGGCTTTTTACAATGAAGAACTGCCTTACAGACAGATTATAACAGAGGTAAATAAACAAAAACAAAATGTGCATGCTAAATATTAATACCCACAAGCTTAAATGGATAAAAACCTGCACAGAACATTATTAAAAATCGAGCCACTATGTTCTTTGGCCCCTGCAACATCTACAGAGACAAACTCGGACACAATCTACGTTGACTTTTCTATAATACCTTTCCCTTTTTGAAAATATTTTGACATTTATCCCTTTTGTGACCAACTCTGAGTAAAATTTTGCAGCACAATTATAAAGGCGCATCTTTTAGAAACAAAACTTGTCACCAAAGCAAAAAAAAAACAACAAATAACTGACAGGTTTCTGGCAAGTGTGCTTTTTATGAGCATGTATGGGTCTCTGAGTCTAATCTGATCTGTGTGTTATTTTAGTCCTTTCCCCGCACAGTGGGCTAGAATTCCCTTGCCTCTTCAAACTGTTTATAATAATCCTCATCCTGAGGATTTTCTGGACACTTCTGCCCGTTGTTAGGCGGCCTGGCCTGGTTGTAGCGGCTCCAGTCTCCTTTGCAGATGATCCAAGGCAAGATATCCACCTTGTAGTGCAAGTCTGCAGAGAACTCTGTGCTTATGAGGTTAGGCGTGCCGGCCCCTTTTCCCCGAGTGATCAGCTTCATGCTATCGTCATAGCAGCAGTGCTGTGCTGCCAGCGTAGTCGATTCCAGGGTCAGCATTGAGCGGATGCAGTAACGGGCTGTTGGTTTGTAGATCTCCAGCTTCTCTTTCGGGCCGCTGGCGTCTTTCCAGCGGAAATCTCGCCGCGTTAGGGCGTCGTGGACGTCCGCAGTGCCGTACGCCACCTCAGTTGGGTATGAGCAGGGGCAGCTTGGAAGGTCGTTTGCCACTTTGGTCATGTATTTCTTCAAAAACTCGCTCTTGCAGTTCATCCATCGCTCACAGCTGTCTGTGTCTGGAAGAAATAACGCTGAAGTTTTAGTCCAGAAGGATTTCATTGCTGCAGCTTTTAAAAACATTCAGACAGAGGGTGGGCAGATGAAAGCTGTGACCTTTCTAACCTGCTGCACAGTAACAGACCTAAATTCAAGCTCTCAGAATAGTAAGCATGTGGAAGAGAAGCCACCTAAAAGGCGGTTAATTTAAAAGAAAAAAAACATAAAAGCACGGACAAAATCTTACCAACTCCAAAGAGTTCTGTGGCATTGAACTCGTTTTTTCCAGCCAACAGGCTAACTTCAGTAGCTGCTGTCTTGAAGGCATCTTCAAAACCTTCAGGGACATTGGATAAAACAAATAATCAACAACTACTAGGCTGATTATGTGGGGTTTGTTTTGATCTGTATTTGGAAAAAACAATAAACTACCTGGACAGCTGGGCATGTCACATGTTCTTGACTCTGTGGCCGTGCAGGCATAACCACAGGACCTGGTTCTCTTCTGGTTGCCATTTCCACAGGTAACACTGCATGCTGACCAGTTACTCCAATCTCCTTCTCCATCTATGTAGTCTGGGATCAGAGGGGAAAAAAGACATTTAAGATGCTTCACATGCAGGCTATATGCTGGAGTTAAAAACGCTGCAGAAGTGTTTGGGGTGTTTTTTCACATTTGGTAATGCTGCAGCCATAGACTTCACACAAAGTAGCTGCTAGCTAATAACACAGAGTTTCTTTATTTTTACACTTCCATAAAATCCAGTGCAGATATAATTGCCCTCAGAGTTCATGTCATTTGCAATCAGTCTGCTGTGTCTGTTCATTCTGAGTAGAAATGCATCTATTCTGTGAAGCCATCAGTTTTTTAAATAGAACACTGGTGGACAAACAGCCTGATGAAGACCAATGATCCCAGCAGATGTGTCAGAAGTGTTATTTAGACCATAAAATAACATCTATAGCTTTGGAAATCTACCAGAGCTTTGGTAAAGTGGCTCAACTTCAAATCTACCGAGACATGGCTATGTGAACTGACAGGCTCGGGCAAGTACAGCATTAATCAGAGGGGCTGCAAAGGAGGCCGATTGGAACTACGGAAGAGTTGATGGAAGAATCCGACTATTAGTCATGTGCTTCACAAATCCACCCACCAAAATCAGAGTTGTAAAAAAGAATGGTCTTTCCTTTTTCCCCAGTTTGCCACATGCCAAGTAGGGGACATATTAAACATGTAGAAGAAGGCTCCACTGTCAGATGGGTCCATAGTTAAGCTTTCTGGTGCATAGGCAAAACATTGTGTGGAAAGAAACAAACACCAGACTCTGTTAGGCACTGTGATTGTTTCTATAAAACTCAATTCCTTAGTAGGGTGACACGTTTCAAATCTAAATCTTAACCTCAGTCTTGAGAATCTAATATGCAGAGAAGTGGAGAAAGTTTTCCTTCTAATGTACAAAGCAGTGTCAGGTTGAATGGAGGTTTAAAGAGGACCATAATGCAGAGACTGAAGCAGTGAAGTGGTTTCTATCCAAAAGGTGACAACAGAAGCAAAAATCCAAAATAACAAAATACAGAAAACTGAAATACAGGAGAAGTCAGGGAAAACACACACCAGAGGCAAAGAAACGACAAGGAAACAGCAAAGAGTAACTGAACAGGAGGTGTATATATGGGAGACAGAAACAATGGGAGGACTAATTAGCAGACGAGGAACAGGTGTGGACAGAAGAATCTAGAAGGGAGCTATGAGAAGGAGACTGACACAAGAGGGCAACAGAGGGTAAATAAGATATACATAAGAACTCAAATACAACCAAAAACAACTAGAATAACAAAAAAATGGAAATAAAACCAACGAAAACTCAAAAAGAAAGAACCAAAACAAGCAGGAGGAAATGACAAAAAGTAAACATAACGTAACCCTTTCAGTTTGCCCTAGAGTTGAATGTTGCATTTGATTCTAGAATAAAAAATTTACAAAATCCTTCTAACACAGCTTTAATTATGCTTGTTTTTTATCAAAACAAAGTTTACATCTCATGGATGCTTAATATTGAACTCCATGATTTCAATATACAACATGGAATGACAGGAAATCCAGTGTCTATACCTAGTCCCATCACCATCACTCATGCATCCAGATTTTAAAAGCCATATTCAATAACCTAGAAGCATTAATGTTGGCATTTTGGGATGCAAGTATTTCTGGCTGGAGTCCAAACCATCCTATGCATCCTCTGCTACCATCTGCCATTCATTATGACCATTTTTCGAATAATATAAGGCATGCTAGCCCCTCAACTCAGACAAAAATATGAATTTTGGAAGAAAAATAAAAATTGCTTAGACCACAGATCAGATGAATGATCGTCCCATTGGTGGATCATTAAGTTTAAGACTATGACAGTAATGCAGATTGAATTTTTCCAGGTCCATTAGGGTGGTGTGAAATACAGGAAAATGATTTAGATAACCGCAGTGATAAGCCAAAGAGTTATGGTTTTCCTAAATATCTAGCATCTTTCTCCTAAACACTTGAGTGCAAGTGAATAAAACGACACCAAAATTCCTCTTTGACTGCATTGGTTTGGGCATGCTTCAACGCAGGCCACACTGTACGACAGTGAGCGTAAATTATTTCACAGCAGATTTATCGGTGAGGTTTGCTTTTGGAGAGCGTGGTTCGATTCCCGTTGAGACCCCAACGATGCTTCCAGCTCCACGACTGTGATTGAACTTAAATGCAGCGACGCAGTTAGCTCTGCACCACAGTGGAATCCGTCTCGTTAAAATGCGTTAAAGGCTTCAATCAAGGGCTATTGAGGGCTTGCCTAGAACGACTGCACTTATTATACTGACTGCCTAAATCAGTAAATCTGCAAATTACAGATTCCACATCAGAGCGTTGCCATCTGGGAAGCAGACCCCTCTGGAGCTGGTAAAATATCGAGAAAAAACACCCTGCTGTCAGTCTTACCGTATTCAGTTTGAGCTTTGCTTCCTCTCCTGTCCCAGTCTGATGATGGCCTGAGAAAATTGCTGTCCTCCGTTTTTTTCCTCCCATAGGAGCGGTCATGCTCCTCGGTTTGATGAGATGATGACGAGGAGGTGTGAGGCCACCAGCTTCTCCAGTTAGGGGAAGCCCAATTGGGCTTGCTCTCCTTCCGGAGGCCTTTCTCTGGTTCATGGCCTTCTAGTCCATCTACCACCTCAATAGTCACCTGTATAAAGAGAAAATGAATTAAACTCTTTCTTTTTAAGAACATAACTCTCATTGGTTAAAACAATATGACATATTTGTACTTTCAAGTCTATAAAGAAGTGATCACAGGGCAGCTAAAATTTAAAAAGATGACACTTAGCTTGGGAGGCTAAACTGGGGCATCCATGGCAAAAATAATGGCTACCCATGAGTTAATAAGGTGAACATTTATGTAGTGATTTATTTAATCAGGGGAAGTCAGGAGAGCTTTGTTTGAGAGCAGTATCTTAGAGACCTGACAAACCAGCATAAATAGGGTTTTAAAGGTCCTATGTGGTGAATCCAGTCTGCTTGTTATTCACCATGCTGGCAAATAGCCATTAGTTATAAAAACTGTAAAAGACTAAAAATCTGTCAGCACTTAGGATAGACTTTGGCATGTTTTGCTCCACTATTGTTACTCTGATACTCCTGAGCCTTAGGACTCCTATTTATCAAAACAAAAAAAAACTCTCAACCCTAACCCGTCCCTAACCCACAACACTTTATAAAAAATAGAAGGCCATACATTGAATTCCTTCACAACAGCAGTTTGTTTCCCTTAATGTGAGGTTTAACTGCACAACAGTAATATAGTGGAATAAAGATTTGAGGTCACTACAACAGCAGGTAAATTTCAACAAGGCGTCGTTTGTTCCCAGAATATGATTTGAAGACATTGCTACACCTGAACTGGTTGGAAAGTGAGTGAAAATACTGAGAAGGCCTCAGCTGTCAAATGTTCTCTCCTCAATTTGGCTCAGACACTGAAAAAAACAAGCTGCTAATTACTGTATCTTGGCGTTGAAAAACTACATCACAACTTTTGAATGCTTGTTCTCTTAAATCTAAGCTTTTAAATGTTTCATCATCGTGGAGGAAAAGGATGTCCAACAAAGACAATTTGTTTATATCCTAGAAGAAAATTTGGTTTTCCTTTCCCGTATTTCCTCCCATAGAGTCCAGACACCTTTTCTAGGACTGATTATCTTTCTAGCGAAAGGACTTGCCGTATACTTTAACATATTCAAGTAAAATTTCTTGCATTTTATCATGCAAACAACCTACTTCCTACCTACAGTGACAGAGTGTGACAGACTTCAGGCAAGCACTGACCTTATCACCCATGTTTTCCTGTGTTAGTGGGTCTAACTTCAAAAATAGAAAGGCCAAATGTAATTGATGTTTAATATTTACTATTATATTGTTTTTTAACATTTAAACTTACATTATCCTTAAAAACAAACCATAACAGTTGGTGCAATATATGGACCCTTTCTGTTGCACACAGCATCACCCCTCCCCCCCTTCTGTCCAGCACATGTGCCTCCCATATGAGGAGGGGGGACACCACCCCTGCCCCACAGTCACCCTCCCACCTCTCTGGCTCTCTCCACCTAAACAGAGAGTTCAAAGGGCTACTCGGCCTCCTCCAGACCATGAAAGCCAGATGAATCCCAGGATCAAAGACGCCCCCTCCTCCTCCTGCCTTGCTCCCACAGCCTCACACCCTCGTTCAATTGGTTGCTTTCTCTCTTCCCACATCTTGAGATGTTAATACACTTTGTTCATGCTCATATTTAGCGATGATGCCCTCGGAAGTGGAAAGAGCCCCCTTTGGTGGATTAGACAGGAGAATGATTTAAACATGGCAGCCGTTATTCAACCATCTGCTTCACTGAAGGATTTATGACCAAGGGCCTGCCACACATTTATATAAGGCTACCGTCCATCTTCCTGCACATGGGTTAGTGCAGCAGTGGGGCTCTGTTGGTTAGGCTCTGCCTTTCAGCTGTCAGTATGATTGACGTGGAGTCTCTCCTATGTTTTACTGGGAGCCGGGAAGTGTGAAAGGGGACATGGAAGAACAGAGGAAGAGGGAGAAAAAGGGGGCAACGTTCTGCTTCAGACTTTCTCCGTCTTCCTCGACATGTTCGATAACTTCAAGGGGTCCTTTGTTTTAAGTTTAGAGGGAGTTAATATAACCTAGTTTAGATACAGCAACTTCATCGTCTTCATTTATATCATAAAACATTAGCTAAAACCAGTGTTGGAAAATAACAGCTAATCTAAGAGACCAAGAAGACTAAATAGAACAGAATAAAGTGGAATACAGTAATACTGTCTTGTCCAACAGTTGAGAAAGCGGGTGTATCAGTCGCTAGTAACAAGAAAGGCTGAATAATAATAATAGTACAGTCCTCAAACTATAGTGGAATGATTTATGCATCATATATAATGATGAATACAAAACAGCAACAGACTGCTTATAATAAAATGGACCCAGTGCAGGAGATGGCAAACAAAAGTACCCCAACCAAAATAACATCTCTGTTGGATAATGTCTCCCACCCCATGAATGAAGCTGTTGCTGAACTGGAGAGCTCCTTCAGTGACAAAGTGCTGCACCCTAAATGCCCCAGGGAGCGTTATCACAGATCCTTCCTCCCAGCAGCTGGAAGACTTTATAACCACCACTGTTTCCAACACAATAAGTTGTTACATTCATGCTGATTTTTGCACAGTTTCTGTCTTGGTCACTTAAATAACATGCTGCTGTTATTTTTGCACATCTTTGCACATTTTCAAATATCCATTACTGTAAAAATGTCCATAGCAGTATATTGAACATTTATTCTCAAGATGCAAAGTATTTATATTTGTAAAAACACTGTACAGTACACCATTATTCTTATTCACCATTTTTACTTATTCTGTTATTTTTATACACTTATTAAGGTCCACATTTGTGTGATTACTTTTGCTGCTGTAACACCAAAATTTCCCCGGAGTGGGACAATAAAGGATTTTCTATTCTAACTTAACAGCAGAAATGTAATTACGGCTGGAAATGTGATGATGAATCTTTGTGCAGCTACGGTACAGCCATCTTTCCTTTAAGTAGATCTTCAGGTCTAAAGCTTCATGCACTGTGTTGGAAAAGTAATGTTATTTTTGCTAATTTTCTTCTGTCTCCAACAACCTGCACTGTGTCCATGGGGTTTCCTAGCATGGCGCTCAAATCAAATACACTTTTTTTTCAATCCTAAAAGGAAATCAAATATTTCCCTAAATTCCTGATGAACTTATCTTTAACTAACCCTCTCAGCACAAGACTTTACTGTTTTTCACCATCCAACTAATGAGATTCAAATATAGAATGTATTAGGTTCAAGAGCAAGAAAAGACAATATTAGGGAAAACAGATGGTGTAGCTTTTTGTTTTAAAGAACTTTTACAATGATCAAATATATTAATGTTAAGGAATCTGTAATATAGAATTATGCAACGGTTCAGGCTTGTTTTTGATCCTCTAATTCTAATACTCTTGGTATCTTAGAGAAGCATTGAAAACTGTATTTTTTTTCATTTACAATTAAATAAAACTTTGATAAACACAAACACTTGAGACGCTCAAATGATCACATTTGATTAGTCAAAATATTCCAGATTTTGCTGAATGAGAGGTTCACAACAGTGGTTGACATTTCTAGAAAACTTTGAAATAAACCATCATTTTTGGAAACTTCAAAGCAGACGCAAACTTTAGGTTTATTTAAGGCTTACAGCCAAGATTATTTAGTTTATTACTATATTCTAACATTTCTTTTTCAAGGTTCCTGAACTGCTGTCACATAAACTACAAGTTTAGGGTGCGTCTCCATTACTTTTGTAGCTAAAAGCTGTCAACTAGCTGTAATGTGCATTCTTTACTAGTCAGCTCTGTCAAACAAAATGTTAATGACTATTTTGTTGTAATATTTCAAAATAAAAGTGAATGCAATTCCAGAGAATGGAAGTCAATCTTAACAGTTACAGTAGTGAAGCATGCTTTGCCATATGGTTCGTAGTTTTGCAAGAATTTATTGTGCATGCAAAATTGCATGCCAAGAGATTTCATTTCATCCCTTCTTAGAACGTCACTGTGTTCTACGGCTTCACTCGGTTTTAGGAACCATTCAGCTGTAGTCATGTTCTCTTTGGGGGAAGATTTACACAAAAAATGATCCAGGCAGGAAATATTCACCAACAGAGGGCTCTTAAACTGCTACCATAATTTGGCCTTCCATTTATTCAGACACCTTCTCTGACTTTACTTCTTGTAGGAAGAACATTGGTGGTGCAACACCTCCGATCTTAGTTTCCTGTTTAAATAACCGTAATCCTCTGTGTAAATACCCAACCCATACAAAGATGAGGGCATTTTAAAAGTCCTAAACAGGATAACAAAATGAAAAAAATACAACAGCTAAAGAAGTAAATGCCATGTTACAGGCTTTTACATATCCTTATTTTTACATTAGGCAGGACCTCTTAATAGAACGCCATTTTCTCCTACGACAAAGTACATTATTAGTGGGTTATCTGTCAGTACCCACCCTATGCAAATGTTATGATAACAGGATTCACACCTGGCATAACATTTCAGAAATTAGAGTGTTAGGGAATTAAATCAACTTTGGTTTTCAGCCTATTGGACAAGCTGGTAACTTTAGCCTCTTGAAAAAAAACACTTTTGTTGGTCTGGATGTAAAAAGCCAACCATATGGCACAAGTTTAAATTGCTGTTATTTAATTGATTTTAAGCCTTATTAACATTACTAAGGGGGAGCTACTTTGACTGTAGGACTTGGCCTTGTTTCATTTTTAGTAGGTTTTTCACTCCGGGACAGCTTTAGTGCTGCATTGCATCCTATCTAACCTTTCTATCCAAACATCAGCCTCTTTGTAGATATCTTCCAACTGCAAACATGATTGTTTAAATGGTTCAAAATGTTATTTCCCCATCAACAGTGAGCTGTTTTAGCGCTTTAAGGGATTGTAAACATTCACTTTGGTTTGGGCTACCTTGGATGATCGCCTAGCATTAACCTCCAGAACCAACGGACAATAATATTCTAGTAATAAAGGGTATTTCATAGATTTTTACACTCCCTAATTATAATGTTATTTACCACATGGATTGAAAGTATGTGATATGCTGTGTTTGTAGTACATATTTCAAAAAGGAAGATGATAGGCTGCCACCTAACATTCTGTTCTTGAAAAACTTTAAGGAACAACCCAAACCAAGTATGAGAACAGTTTAGAATTTCATGCAAACGTTGCTTCCATAAACTGCTATGACATTTTTAAAATGGTAGTAACTAATCTGCAATGGTCTGGGTGTTTTTAAATGGGAAGATAATTGGTGCTCTGTTCCTCCAATCTCAATCTCCAGTGTATAAAAATCAGTTTCTATGGAAATAACTGATCAAGGAAAGTTGGCAAAAAGTTCCTTCAAAAGCATTTATGTGAGCCTTGAAAAATTTGCTGAGGTTGGATTAGTAAAAGTCACATTTTTTTTCCTCAGACTAGCTGTTCATTTCTGTGAGCAACTCACCTGGATGTTGGGGTTCTGTCTATTGATATCAGCTTTAGAGAGGTCTGGAAAATTGTTCAAATCCAGTAGGAATGCTCCAGGGCCATCCTTGTGCACGCTGCTGCCCTGCACCCAGGGGAGGGTTGAGGGCTGGTGGGCTGTCCTGTGTTCTGGACCAGGCCGCCGGTCCTCAGGAGTCCGCTGAGAAGATGAGCTTCTTCTTGCATTTAAGGCGTTTGTCTAAAGAAAAGAAAAACATCAAATAAACCCAAGTGTATTTGAAAAACTAAAGAAGCCATCAACTTTCTGTTTTTGAGAAGGTAAAGAAAATGTGGCCACATTTTATTTTTTTATAGACACATTGGAATTAGTATGTGACAGAAGTCTATGTGGCTTGGACTGTGAGCCCAGAAAGAACAGTCTGATTCTATAAAAACAATGTCTGTACGAAGCCTACATTTAGATTCTATATGCAGCCATAATGTGTATTTTTCCTTTTTTAACTGACAAAGTATGTTGCAGCTTTACCATAGTAATATGTTGTGTACCTCTCTCTATATATAGCTTGTCCTACTGTATTGCCAGCTAAAAAAGGCTGTGTAAGGGTAATGGTTTTGCTGCCGTGCTATACGGAGAACCTAAGCAAATATTGCAAAATAATTATACCTGCCCTCGTGAAAAGAGAAAAACATTTGGTCTTCTGACAGGAGTGTTGTAAATCCATCCCATAATGACAGCTAAAGCATATGTCCTCAATCAGGTATGCACAGAAGGAACAATTATTCCTAAATTGGACAGACAGCTATAAGTAGTCTGCAATCATCCATTCTGGGGTGGTAGAAAATAAGATCAAAGCAAAGCATCAATCATGCTTCTTGTTTTTCACCCCCCCTTCCCAGTGTTTTTTTGTGGCCAGACGAAGGCCAGAGAATATGGAAGCGGTGCTTCACGGTTGCGGTGGCCTGTCACAGACAAAGTGTCAGCCCAGCCACATTGTGGCGGGCATAAAAGCCCCCACTGGAGCCGTTTGTGTGGAGCCAAGGTGCACTCTGGGGCTAAACGGACGCTGTAAATGGAGCTGCACAGCAAGGGAGCGGGGATTATAAATGTACATGTAGCTTCTATTTAGGAGTTTCTCAGACGGAGTTAATGCGATAATGTGGTGGATGTTAAAGAATTTCTTGTGTACGTTTAAAAAAGCAATGGGAGTTTTCCTGAAACCCCTAATTAAAGCAAAGAGCTTTTAATCTAGATAAGGGAACGAGTTGTTTATGAGGATTTATGTACTGAATTATAATATTTGTGGTGAAAAAAAATGATATAAGCCGATTCCAGTCGAAACCCTTGTTGTGTTACATCCAAAACCAAACTCTTATGGCTAAGAGTTGTGTAAAAAGAAAAAGATTTCGGGAAATCAATTTGTGGTTCGGCTATCTGCTCTTTACACGAACATTACAGAACTTTTCCTGCTTCAAACAGAAGTACGTGGACTTTGAGATGCCCATGTGATAACCTTGCCTTTCATGTTCCCAGTCTTCAGATTTCACTCCATGGCTGTAAGCGAGCTCCGCTGAGGGAGCAGCCGAGACATAGCCTTCACAGGTATAATTACAACCTAAATGCAAACATAAAGTGGCATAATACAAAAACAGGTGCATAATCTATGTAGTCTGCTCTAATAAGCTTATAAATGATTGCATTAGTAATATACAATTTAAGAGAAGAATAAATAAGATATGTGTGGTACAATATCACATTTTAGGGCCATTTCAGTTAGAATCCACATCTTACAGTAAAAAAACTAAATAAAAATAATTATACAATTCTAATTCCACAGGAAATCATAAAATATGTAGCATAGATTCAATAAAAATAGTACAGAAAGTGTGAAATAAAGTTTATGGCAGAATAATCACTTCCTAAAGCATCTAGTCTTTCCATTCTTTGCAGAACAATTAGGGGACCTTGTCACCAACAGTGTTAATTTTGATAAAGAACCTTTCTGATAACCTTGTGAAAATAAAATTAGAACAACTGTAAGACTATCTCCTTTTTAAACTCTGATTTAATTAATTCTAAATAGAGAATACAGTCAAAATCATTCCCACTTAAATCTGGTAACTTTTAAAGTGACTGTTTGTCATGTAATAAAGAAAAGGTGGTAGCTTTCTTTCAGCCAGCTGATTGGCAGTGCTGTGGCTGAAAGCTTTGTCAATCAGCAATAAGCTGTCAGGGGTCTCATTTATAAAATACTGTAGGATTCAAACTAAAAGTGAATGTATGCCAATAAGATGTAGGCGTACAACCCCAATATTTATAAAACTATGCACCATCAGAACACACTTTTCTTTTATAACACCGCGTGGCTGCATAGAAAGAACTCCTGGCTTCAACCTTCTATATTGGGTCTCTTTTCTGAAAAAATATCAATGAGTGTTATTGCTGCCATGAACTTTGTTCTCTCAGGTTTTTTTTTTATCTACGTAGAAAGTACTCCTTTTCCATCCACTCTGTATTTAGCTGTCTATCTCTATAGGAGCCTATTGAAATAGCTATTGTTTCAACATAGTGTGCGTTTTCTATTTAGTTCTTTACAGTAATAAAGGTTCAGTATTCAGGTGCATCTCTTCTGGACACACCTGTTATTGAGACTATAGGCTGTGTCCGAATGTCCACCCTTATCACTATATAGGGCACTATATAGTCGTTACACCATTTTAATTTGTGTCTGAGCGTCTAGTGGACAAAAAAGTAGTGGGCTTGAAATTTCCCACAATGCACCTTGAAAAGTAGTGATCATCTATGGTCACTAGACAAGTAGATATCTCAGAATACTTTGTGAGAGCTGTCCCTGAAGGCCTCATGGGACTTGTTGTGACAGAGACAGGTAAAGATGATGCATGCACAATGTGGGGAGGTAGAGTTATGTGAACAAAGGGGAGTGAAAAGTAGTGATCATCTGTCCGAAGGGTCAGTTAATTGAGTTAACTATAAAGTCCACTATATAGTTTCCGCTCTAGTGATTGAGGGATTTAGGGGTTAGGGTGGATGTTCTGACACAACCTATTAAGGGTTTAAATAATTTCCTCCATGTTTTTCCTTATGTATAAGGAAACAGCCATATGCAGCAGATGGCTTCTCATTTCCCTCTAAGAGAAGAGAGGTTCCTTTCCACTGTCACCACATACTTGCTTAGGCAATGCTGCACTGTCAGACCTAATTAGTTGGCTCTGCTTCCTCAGATGTACTAAATGTTGCTGTATTGTATAATAATCAGAACTCAAAACGCAAAATAAATGACTGGATTGGACTGAATGTAAATGAAACCTATTTCAATTTTGTAAAAGACAGGTAAAAAATTTGATCTGATAATAACTCTTTAGATTAAATTTGTTCTAACTTTGTGGTAAACAAAGAGACAGAAGCTGTATATTATATAAGCTGCATCAAAGCAGTACAGAGAATATGTGTTGACAATGTAATTCGTCTAATCTGTGGACCACCAGTGATGAAAAAGGGCAATTTGGTGAAATTCTTTTCCAAAGACAATTAAAAACATAAGACTTCAAAATCAAATCAATTAAAACTGACCTGCTTTTAAACTTTTATCCTCGTCATCTGTTACCATTTTGGCTCTGAATTAAAGATTTAGGAAACAAACAGCCCTCGTGTTTTTAATTTAAATCATGACAGCAGCAGAACATTTTGAATGAAAATTAGAAAAAAAAATCTCCATTCATGGAAAGCTGATACTATTGATCAATGGTTGAGCAAAAACCTAAGAACCTAAAAATGTCTTCAAATCTTCATCCTCCTTACTATTGGAACAATTTAAGATGCAAATTAATAGAAAAAAAACAAGTTGTTTAATCTAATAAGAGCAAGAGCAAAGGGAAAAGCCATTTAAATGTTAAATAAAAGGCAGCTTTGATGGCAGCCTACTTTAAAGTTCGTATCGCTCACGTGTAAAAAAAAAAAAAACAGGCTTTAATTTGGAGATCAAAAGTGACAAACCGGTCCTCCGCTCATCTGGGGCCTCCCAGGATGCCTACCCCCACCCACTCCTTCTCCAAAAGGCATGAATGAACACTTGCACACACACAATCCCCCTCCTCACAGTATTTCTTCCTCTTTTCCCGCTTCCTCCCTTTTTCTTTAACATTGTCTGTCGCTCCTTAAAGGGCCATGACTCCAATTTCAATTGGGAGCCAGTCAGGAGTTCTTCCCCCCAGGGAAGCTGGCAGGAAATGAAGGCACTACATGGCACCACATGCTTTTCAGCATTTCAGCAAATGGTGAATAAAAACATGTATTTGACAAACTGGAGGATATATAATTTAAATAATTGTTAAAAGAGGCGACATATGCATCAGGAAGGACATTTTGTCTGCAGACAGCTGCATCGTTAACATGACACCTTGGGATGACAATGCATGCCCTGAGGTGTGACAAGTATGTTTAAAGAATGACATAACGTCTGTTTAGCAGGAGTTAGCTTATCTAGTCTTTCTGTGAGTTTGTTAAAAAAAAAAAAGGCTTATAAATATTTAAATAGAGGATGTTGAACTTTGGATGGAGAGTTCAGAATCCCTCCTTTGATTTCTCAGCATGAACTCCCTGCTGCTCCTCTTCCTGCTCATCCAATCCAACATTTGGCTGAATGACAAATATTCCCTAAATTCCAGGAATACCTCCTAAGCTTCGCATGGCCTCACATCCAGGAAAACACAGACTTGCAAAATGTGTACCTCAGTCATTGATAGCAATAAGAATGGTAATAATAAAAAAATACCCTACTTCTTGTATTAGGTTTTTATATTTCTTTGATTTAAAATATTTTAATAGCTATTTCTCCTTTATTATTTTTCAATTGGAAAAAGTTATTTAAATACTTTCCAGACAGACAAGCAATTGAAAAATGCCCAAAATCAAGTCAGGATTTCTTGCTTTATATTTCATTTTTTGCACCACTGGCCACTAGTTAACAGATCAGTCGACAGGAAAGGGTCAGAAATCGAAGGCCAGCAATTGAACCTGAGGCTGCTGTATTGAGGAATTGGTGTGTGTCTGTCCATACAAGTACATTAGCTTGCTTATGTTGAAATGGGCAGTTAAGCAGTTAAACACGTCTCAAGGAGTGTCATGTTGACAGAAGTTTCCCTGTTGAGGCATGCTCCTTCCTGCATTATAAAGGAAACATTAAAAATGTTTGAAAAGATCGACTCATCGTAGATAAAAATGGGTGTTATGACACTCCGAAAAATAAACACATCCAAAACTAAATGGCACATGCAGAGGACGAGTTAAAGGGAACACTTTTCTGTCAGGATTTAAGCAAACATTTTAAATTATAGATTTTAATAATGCTTAAAGAACGCTTTTTTTTTTGCCATTTCTGGATCTCAGTTTAGTTTGACAGTTAATTTTAAGTTTGATTTAGTGTTTTAAAAACCTCCTGACACACAATTTGTGTCTCTGGTGTTCAGTCTATGCTTCCCATTCAATTATAAGTCAATCGGTGCAGCTCCTGCATTTCTTTGGGGGTGTCCCATGCACTTCCTCTCTCTAAAGCCTCCTGTTGTGACTGAAAAACCATAATATTTCATCTAGGTAGACCAATTTACATTTGCCTAAGTGAAAACTGCCCAGCCCTCTGTATCTGAAGAGTATGCAGCAATGTGCACTTATAAACAGCCTGTGCTTATGGTACCCAGCACTGCAACCTCAGTGCAGTACGATACTTTCTGCCACACCTGTTCAATTCAAATATATCACAAATTAATTTAAGATATAGAACAGAATACAGAATATCTGCATGTTTTGTAATCAAAATATAGGTTGGTGATAAAAGAAAAGATCAGCTATGGACAAGCCCCAGACACCAGTGCCCCCAGCATGGGCGGTTCTAGACAGGGGCCAACAAAGGGCTAGTGCACCTGTAGAATAAGTCCTGGCCTTTGTTAGCGCCCCTGTACCAAAGACAGAATTCACAATATAAATATGTTTCAAAAATTAAATTGTTGCTCTTTTAGCCTCAGTCATGCTAAGATAACAGTTTTTTCCTCCGTTTTTTTTTTTTTTTTTCGGTGCCCCCTGTATATTTGGTCTAGAACCGCCACTGGCGACCAGACCTGAGGCACAGACATTCACTGCTTCACCTTAATTTCTTCCACGTATTTGAATGGGCAATGTGTCATTTCAGTTATTTTGACCAAAGAGAATCTTAATTTCATATAGAAAAATAAAACTATAGGACAGTAGAGTGGTAATTGTTATGATGACCTCCCCTAACTGCATGTCACGTATTGATCAAGCATCTACAGACAGCCCATTGATTACCTATTAGGAGATGGAGCTACAATACCTGAATGAAAAATGTAGAGAACAAAGTATGTAATGCATTTCTGGTCAGAGTAATTATCCATTGGAAATTCCTACAGCATGATGCAAGTCATCTAAATTGCATTTTTTTTTTTTCCTTTTACACATTCATGTTCTTTTGTCATTTCAACAACATTTATTGTAACTGGAATTACATATTTTCTCCTCTCACTGCATGAAACAGGAAAATTGTTGGGAAAACCTCCCCGTTAATTATTTTCCCCATTTTATTGTCATTTTTTAATAATAATATTGATTTATATTAAAGGACGACACAAAGAAAATCAGCTGGGGCAGGTAAAACTTTTCATGAGACTGTAACACACCCTCCCTTTTAGAATCCTGAACTATCCCTTTAACACTTTCTGAAAAATCCTGTTGATCCCAAACCCATCATAAGCATTTGGTCAGGATTTACTGTATGGCTTAGTTGAAGTATGCCTGCATCATGCTGATGTTAAAATGAGCTGTTAAGCCATTAAACAAGTTTCAAGTGGTGTCATGCTGACAAATGTTGCTCTTCTGAATGCTGTTATGGCACATAACCCCATTCTTTTATTGGAATGCATTGTGCAAACGTTAAAGGATATAAAATCCCTACTACTGTAAAGACAAAGACAACTTTCTGGGTTTTTTGCACTTAAATTCTGAGCTAACAATAATGACATGGGCGGTGTTCCACAGGGCTCCACTCTGAGGCCATTTTATTCACTATTTAAGATCCCTCTTGCTCAGATCAGATTAGGGAGTATTGAAAGTCCTGCTGCCATCTGTGTGATGTTTTCACCACATTTCTTTGATTTATTAATATGATTCACAAAATGCAATTTAGAGAGACTATTAAATCAGATCAGTTAGATTGGTTAAAGGTATTTAATCTAAGGAAACACAGTTGATTGCATTGAGTCATTTACCGCACTGACTCCTCCTGCATGTGGAGAATGATCACTATGTCTGTTCTAGCCACTACAGGATTGCAATACAAAAAAAATTATTTTACAGTTTCTTTCTCCTTAATTGTTATTTTTTCATTTCACTTTGGTGCTCTTAATTCAATTTCCTTTATGTTTCTGTAAGCAACCATAATTTGACAAACAAAAGAAAGGAAAAGAAAAACATCCCTTGCCTCACGTCTGAACTGGGAGGAAGTTTGGTTTATGGCGAAGTGTTCTGCAAACACATCAGGAAATCTTAACAGGAAACGGGCACAATCTGTGGTTCAGCTCTGATCCTCTGCCTTATTAAGTAAGGGGTTGGATGACAGTGATGAGCCTTTGATGACAGATAAGTGCCTGCAGCTAGCATTCAACTCCTTGACAATAGGAGGTGTGTCTGTTGTGAGTGGGCTGATCTCTGACCCCGGATCATCTTCTGTCCCTCTCAAGGTTCACCATCATTCCAGGGGGTATCCTTTTGGGTAAGTACATCAGTCCCCAGAGACTCCAGGGAGCCTTCTTCACAGATTGAAGGCTTTATTTAACCCATCAGAGAAGTATACCCAAACTAAACTAAGCTGCTGTAAAAAGTCACCAAAACCTTCCGAGGACCCAAAGGACTACTGGAACTCTGACACAAGTTAAAGAACTCAAACCATCTGATTTTGAGATTTTAAACTGTTTATTTATTTAACTGAAACAACCGGATACATGTACCATTTGTAAATATATAAATGTCATTGTTTAATGGCGAGTCCTAATTAAATATCTGTATGTTTTATCATTTTCTTTATCTTTGATGTTAATATTTTTTACACATCTTAAACATTTCATATAGTGTTTTTTTAAATCATAAAAAATTATTTCCTGTTTGAATACAAAATGCAGTTCACAAATAATTACTAGATAATAAAACTATATAAAAACCATGGCTCTATGGAGAGAAGTAATGGCCCCAATATGAAATAGATCAATCACTTCTTTTTTTATGCCCCGATTTCAGTTTTACAACCCAACCCTGCAGATTTGCTGCTATACCTGTAAAAACAAGAAATAACCTAAATCAAACCTCTCCGACAATAGAAAGTAGGCCAAAATACATTAAAAATATGTTAAAATTAACATCTTAACTTAAAGAACAGATTAAAAAGAAGGCAAGTTAAATATTTTACTATTGAAATGAAAACAAAGGCTCTAGGATTCAGGCAAACGAAAGGGGATGCTGATAACACCGAACCTAAATATCACCGAACCATGAAGAATCTTCCAACAATTGACCGACCAACCAAAGTTCCTCCTGTAGTGTGTTTACAATTCATCCAGAAGGTCACTGAAAAACCTAGAACATCTAAATCTCTGCTGGCCTCACCATCATTTAATCAATTACAAAGGCTTTTCTCACTTTATCCAAAAATCATGATGACGCAAGATTTTGGGAAAAAATAGTCTGTGATCAATGTTTCTTATGAAAATCATACTGTCACTGAAACACAGAGGTGGAAGTGTGATGATCTGGAGCTTTATTGGACCCAGGGCTGGGTGACTCCTGATACTGAACTTGGGAATTCTCCTATGAAGTTAAAAACACTGACTATTAGTTTGTGGATCCAAATCTCAAGCACATGTGGATTATGCATTGAGACAATAGTAAAAGCACACCAGCTTATTCAAATGAAGGAAAACATTTAAAAAAGCAGTGGCCTAGTCAAAGTAATCTGTTCTACTTGATAGTGAGGGTTTAGTAAGCGTTAAACAGTCTTATCCTGGTGGAAACCCTCCATAAAAGGTTTTTTGCAGCAATGTAAGACTCATTGGTAGCTTTCACAAACACTTGACAGTAAATTTTCGAGCCAAAGATGGCATCAATTTGGATCTTTATTTACTTATAAACATCTACAATCTGAAACTTGTTTTATTGAAAAAGATTAATTAAAAATACAGACATAAAATGTGAGAAAGTCGTTTTAAGGTGTTGTATCCAGGATCATGGGTCCCAGAGCACTTGGCCCCGCAAATCACACTCTGCTTTAAGCCCCTTACAGTCTTTTCATTATATATCAAATTCTGCTTCAAGGCAACAGTTTCCCAAACTCACCTCTTTAGGAGTCGTTTCCTGATCCAAGCTGGCAGTAACATTTCCTTGAGGCAGCGGGCTGCTCCGCAGCACTGTGATGTGTAAAGTAAGGAGGAGAAGTCCCAGGAGCAGCAGGAGTTCCGCCGCCAGCCGCACCATCCTCTTAACGCGGCCGCTCTTTGGAGCGCGTCCTGAGCCCGGAGCTCCGACTCCTCCCGGTGCAGAGACTCCAATCTCCGGATCCGCCGGGGACGAGGAGCCGCAACACCACTTCGGAGCCACTTCGGGAATAAGAGGTGCAAAAAGAAAAAAAAAAAAAGAAAGAAAAGAAAAGGGAAAAAACGAGTCGAAGCGGAGATGCAGTCAGAGAACGCAAGGAATTGAGGATGAAATTGGATCCAGTGTTTGTTTTCTAAAGCAAACAAATTCTCCTGTGATTTCTAATCAGAAAAACTCGATGTAGGCAGAATGAGTAAACAACCGGATGGGTTGAAGGAGGGCTGCAGCCTGTGGGGAGTAATGCAGCCTCAGATCTCCCAGCTCAGGCAGCTGCTCTGCCTCGCCGCATTTCCAGCTCCATGCTACAGGTTTGCCTCACTTTTCCACTTCATGCGCAACTTTCCGCATCGTCCGCATTCTGCGTGGCATAATCCACAGAGAAAGTCTTTGATCTACAAGCGCAGGTAGCAGCAGAGACTCCACGGTCAGCACAGGGCTCACCTCACAGGACTGAAGAAACCTGCAGGAGAAAACAAGGTGGACGCACGCTGGTGTTGTTGTGCGTCCTGGAGCCGCTTTTATACCAAACCACCCCCCATGCGCGCGCGCCCTCCCCTCTGATTAACTCTTTCATCCCTTTGAACGCGCTCCTCATCAAACTGAGGTACAGCTGGCTTCAATTTCCACTTATTCTGATGAAAGATCAAGAGGATCGCTTGCCCACTCCAACTTATTCTCAGTCCTGGAATAAAAAAAGATCAAAATGTGCTTTTAAATTCTGGATCCCCTCCTTAGAGAAATGAATGAAGCAACTTTAGACTGTGTGAAGGGGGTCTGAGAATAACACCAGGAGGTCCATCTCTCCAACCCACCTACAGGACAGTAGAGCAACAGCGGAAGAGAGTGGTGACACTTCGCTTAAGAATGACAAATGGTGCATAATGTGATTTAACCGCTGCGAGGTGTTTTATTGTCCCCCTTCAAAGGACAGCCCATCCGATCAAGTATGCATCTAGTAGGGATGCTGCTGCCTCAGCGTGGGGGGGCCATTTACAGATCCTGCACAGATAAAACCCACCCATTTGACTGAACTTTTGCACCTTCAGATGCGAAATAACAAACATGCAGGGACGGTCCCTGGAAATACCCTCCCCAGGGTAGGCCCTTAAATGGAAATAGGCATAATTAGAAATTCTTAGAATAAGAAAATGGAATCTAGCTCAATGAACATTACTCATGAATCAATTTTACATTATGATGCAATAACTATTTCCAGTTTGGTGACAAAAATCAAGGCCAAGATGTTAAGCACCACTGGAGTTAAGATGAGAGCCATGTCTGACCAGCTGCAACAACAGTGTGGTGCTAAAGCCCTGTGTACACTGTGCAATTTTTTTTTCAGTCGTTGCACGCAGCTGCTGCTCACACTGTACGACTAATCGCAGGGTTTAGTCGTACAGTGTGTTTCGGCCCGGCGCTCTGATGCGATCTACCTGCTCACACTGTACGACTAAAAACCACGTCGGACTCAGCTCCGCAGTGAGATGGAGCACCTCTGACAGGTCTATCTAGAAGCCAAACAAACAGAAAAGGAATATGAAGCTCACTATAGTTTCAATTTGTGCATTTTTGCACTGAAAGCCTTAAAAAGAAAAGGCAACAATGTATTTGGACAAAGTAATGGCTGAGCAAACATGGCTACTACGGTCTGTCAATTCTACAGACAGAACTGCATTTCACTCATTGCATCCCTGCCACGCTGCTGTGTTTACATCTTAGAGAAAAAAGAAAAAGGAGAATCCTCGGTTGCGCATGCGCATGGAGCGATTTGCCCACGACTGTCGGGAGAAAATCAAACATGTTTGATATTCTCCCGACCTCACGATTCCTGATCGGGAGGTGGTTGTGAGAGGCTGATCGCTGCTTGTAACCCCCTGTACACTACGACACTCACGATCAGGCTGAAAGTAGGGCCGATTCTCGCAGGACTGGAAAATCGCCCCGAAAATTGCACCTTGTACGCTGGGCTTTAGGTAGGTTCCAGAGGGTCATTGTTCCTTCTGCCCCCCTTGCACATTTTGCAGGGAGAGTGGAGGCTTTCTTGCTATTTCTTCCTTCTACATTATGTTTTAATAGAGACCAGAAGTGTTTTAGATAAAACAAACAAAATATAGTCTATTCTAGACCTGCTTTACTTATGACTATTTTTAGGCATAGCTTTATTCATTGTTTATTTGATCCACTCATCTTCTCCTGCTTCATCCATCAGGGTCGAGGTGGGCCTAATGCCTGTCTCCCACTGTCTATGGATGAAAGGCAGGGTACACTCTGGACAGGGTGTCAGCAGTCTATCACAGGCCAACGCAGAGACATGCAACCATGCACACACCTATGGACAATTTATAGAGGACGTAATGTTTTTGGACTGTGAGAAGAAGATGAAGTACCTGAAGATAACCCAGGTATGCACGGGGAGAACATATAAACTCCATGCATGGCCGGAAATCAAACCCAGGACCTTCTTGCTGCAAGGCAACATTTCTACCAACTGTACCACGTGCAGCCCTGTTTACTTTATTAGGTGTTAATTTGTTTGGTATGGTGAAACTAACTAACCGAACGACAGAGTATGAAATGTCTTTCTGTCCATAAACGTATAATATCACTAGCTCCATGTCTAGTTGAGTACCTGGAAGTTAGGGTGCGGTGAACGACAATAAGAATAGAAACTGTAGGGATACAAAAGTTATTTTCAGAAAGAAAGCTTCACGTGAAAGCATAACCTGGTTAAAAGAAAATTCTTTTCTTTTTATAAAGAGAAATGTCCCTACTCTTAAGGTGCATTTAGACCGAGTGCGGTGTCCGTGGTGAGGCTAGTGGATTTAGATAGTATCCCTATGGAAACTGCACGGGAAAGCAGCCAGTGGTGAATCCCATGTGGGGATGGTGTTCACTACTCTGCTCTCACCTGCAGCTACTCGATAGAACTAAAGTGTTGTCAAACAGCGGCATGGAGAGGACGGAGTGGTGTGGCTACTGAAGTTGAACCTTTCTATGAAATTGTGTCACTGCAACCAATCGGGGACTGGCTGTGACTGTGACATAGGTTATAGAAGCACATCCAAGGCAAAGCTTTTTTCATTTAAAATTGAATATTTTAAATGTAGATAGTTGTATTACCTAGTAATGGAAGAAATCATATATGAGATAAGGAATGCATTTTTAGATGGGTTTAAAAAAGCAGTTTTAAGCAGTCCTAGAGGGACTGCTCCTCTTCCTCCCTTACCTCTAGCACAGACCCCGGTCTGTCGCTGCCTCTCCCCCACATCGGTGCTTTCTGCACGGGTAGATCGGCAAAGAAATACCTCTGAAACCAACCGTCATCCAGGCGCGGATCTGGATGAACCAAGGTGGACTACTTTCTCTAAGCTTCTGGGGCTTTTCTAAAAATGAATGGTCTCCCCAAGCTGTTGTGTGAATAGAGAACAATTCAGCAGTAGTCTGTAGTGTCACATTTCACTTGTGCTTTTATTGTGAGTTGCTGACGGAGAAATCTTGAAAGGAAGTGTGAAAATCCCATAATGCTTTGCGAGGAGAGCTCTCTGCGCAAAGCATTCCAGGATATATCTGCCTCTTCTGAGGACTTTCTCTTCTTTACATACACTTTGTAGACACTTTTTCTCTTACAACCCTCTGCCATTTTCAAAGAACCTCGGTGAGAAAGGTGAGCTTCAATGACTGTCTGAAACCGTAGCTCACCTCCTGAAAGTGATCATACACAGAAAATGATGCTAACGGCCTTACATAAACACATTACCAGAATGAGCGACATATTAGGAGGACAACTTATTTAGATGATCCACCTGCAAATAAAAGATCATCCTCTATACTTTCAAGGTAAACATGCCTAGTGTTTCATTCAATGCCAGCACAGGAACGCCGTTTACACTAACCACGATTCCAGCAACATAGGAGTTTGATTGACATGTTTTCCCTATGTGGAGCTACGTTCTGGATTGCCAGCGATGCAAAGTGATGTGACAAATGAACTAATAGCAATGAGACAGACACGATTATGGTGATTAAAGTGATACAAAACCTGCGATGGATGCACACTGACTGCTGAAGTTTAAAAATAAGTAATCTATTTTGTGCGGTGCAATAATCGTTGTAATTTGAAGGAGTGCAGCTAAAAAAACAACACTTTTTTCAATCAGTATGGAAGATAGTAATAAGGTTAACCTATATAGGATGAAGTAATAATAGTTTCATGGGTGGTGATCAACTTTTGTTTCCACTTTTTGCTCTTTATTAGTATTTTCCAGGTTTTCTTTTCTCAAAAGCATGCACACATTATAAAATTTTATAAATGCCTTAAAATCAGATTAACATTTTTAATCTATTAAAGGCAGAACAATAAGTTCAATTACCAACTTATTACTAACTATCATGAATCAATGAGGACTATATGCAAAGTTGTAATTGGTCAATCTGTGTTTCATGAAAACGTGAATATATGATTACCGACTTTATCCTGGCTGGGGGGCTGTTCCCCCCTAAGAGTGCAGAATGTCTGATCATAAATTTCACCTAACCAATCCAGTCATTGGCTTCAAAAGTCAGCTTTATCATTCTCGTCTTTATTTTGTCTTTTAACTTCACTTTATATCTAACAGCAGCTTAAAAAAAAAAAAACGTTTTAATTTAACCCTTAAAATGAAGGTTATATCATTCATAACTCACTCTTGTAGCTCCAGAGCTGGTCCCGGCCCTCCTCCGCCTCTGTCTGTATGTATATTTAAGATGATGTTGAAATATTGTAATGTTTTCAAGTGTGTTTTGTTTATTTCATGAATTTGACAACTAGAAGGTTTTAGTGAGTCAAGTAGCTGTCAAATGGCTTATTTCCGGGAACATTTAGGATTTTTCCTCGAGTTCCTTATTTTTATCTTTCTTTTTCATTGACAGTTTTTTACTATTTGAGATGTTATTTCTTTAAAAGTATTTTATTGAAAAAGTTGAAGTTAATTATATTGTAAGTTATATAGAAATACAGGTATATTCAAGGTTCTTAATTATCCAGTCTTTAAAGAATGATAATAACAGCATTGTCCATTTTTAAATTTTTACAGTAAAAACATAACTAGACTGTAGAATAGGAATTTTTGCATACTTTTTATATCTGCTTTTAATCTTCCAGAAAATTAGGAGTTGCAGATCACATGTGCATTTCTCTAACAGTATTAGTATTGTGTTACTACTAGTATTAAATTACATTAAGCAAGACTGTGCTCAGTCTAGGTTACATTAATATTTTGATGATTTAAATCCAAGCAATCACACCAGCTGTTCAGGGAATTGGGGTCCCTATTTGATTTCTTTATTGTAGGGCCCATAAGTCCTGGTACCTATGCTTGTTAAAAAGCTATTTTTATTAGCATGTGTGAGCTTTGATTGCTGTGAAAAACACTCACAACCATACAGTACTGCCTGCACAGAAATGTTAGATTTGTTGTTTTGTTTTG